TGCTCTTTAAATTACAAAATATGTTCTTTAAAAATAAATTATTTATTGGAAATGTTCTAAATGATGAAGACGTGAATGGACTCGGGCCTTAGTAAAATTTCAATCCATTTTCTCGCTTTTCATTTTTTTTTAGATTTTTATGTAATTTAATCATTCGAGGAAGATTAAAATCTTTTGTCTATATTAGGGTTTCATCTTATGCTTTTTTATTTATACGGTACGGTATTGACTCTGATTTTTAATTTTTTAGCCCCTATTTGGCCAAAACAATTATTTGAATAGTGATTTTTAGGAGAATATGTGATTAAAATGTAAGGTCCGTTTGATTGCAAATGTGGAAAATCGGTGGAAAGAAAATGAATTCTAGAGAATTTAATTGTCTAGAAATTGTTTTACAGGAAATTGTAATTAATTGTGTTTGATTGGTATAATTTTCCACCTGAAAAATGTTGAAAGTTTGGTATCCCTTTGACTTTCTTTTTCATGAAAATTGTCCATTAAAGTGATAATTTCCTTTACCATTGGATCTAGAATTTGTTTCACTTGCCAAAAAAAAATTACCATACCGAATACCATTCGTTTGGCTTTATTTTGAATGAAATTTGTCAATAAAAGTAATAAAATTTTTTAACATTGTATCTAAAATTTTTTTCAATTGCTTAAAAAAAAAAAAGATGAAATGGTGGGAATTTGTGAGCATGTGAGCTAAATGCGGAAATTTTTTTCAATGAAAAATAAAGTATATCAAATAAGGCAAAATTGGAAGTTGGAATTTTCCATGGAAAATAATGCCCTCTCAAACAGGCCGTAGAGTAAAGTTTTAAGTTTACGTCCAAAATATTTTATTGTGTGAATGTGCGGTTAAAATGAGTATGTAGAAAAAATAATTTTTAAATAATGATTGTTGAACGGAGGCTTATTATATTTTTAATTTTATAAATTTAAACTTTATTTAAAAGTGAAAAGAGTAAATGCCTAAATGGAAAACAAACAGGTAGGAAAATGGGAGAATTTCAGTTAATATTTTCTATATTCTTTTGGTCGTAGAACATAAGTACCACTTTTGAAGGCTTATATGCTGGGCCAAAACCTGACTTTCTCTAAACCCATAGCCCAGGGTGCTCTGCCGCCGGAAACTCGAGGTATTGCTTTTTCTGTGTTTATTTGATTCACAACTGCATCTTTTTGTTTTTTTTTTAATCTGAAATTCACGCAAAATATAATTTGTTTTTTACAATTGATTTCTGTACAAGTTTTAGAATTTAGTGCAGTTTTATTAGGAGACTCGTGGATTTTATCAACTATATGTGAGTAATTTTCAACGATAGTGACAGTGTTCTACTTTCTTTATTAATCTGAAGTATTCTTTATCTGAGTTCTTTCTTGTTGATGAGTACTGCCTTGTCTAAGGTGAATTCAGTTTTAATCATTTGTAGCCATTGGACGTGTACAATTGTCATTTTTAAGGTGGTCTTTTGTGTGGAATTAGTTTTATGCACTACAGGTATTCGACTATTTGTCAAGTTACTGTCTTCAACCAATAGTGTTGCACACTACACATTCAGAACATGCATAGAGAGCTTTACATATCTCCTCTAAAATATATGATGCCAAACAAAGTAACATTATCTTATATCAGTAACAATGGCAAGCGCGAGACTTCTATATAACAGAATATCGAATATCAATTTGAGGGATTAGGGTCTATCAGAATAATATTTCCATCAGCAAATTTAATAGGCTACTCTCAAACAGATCACTAGCATGAGTACCAATCCAGACAATGAATCGCAGAGTGCTTCTTCAAGTTCACAAGATGCACCAAAACCACAGATTGAAACGATTCGCTTACCCACAGTTGAGGAAATACGGGGTCAGGACATTTGGAACAATTGTGCTGTTCGCAGTGTTGTTAGTGGAGCCATGGGTAGCTTCAGAAATCTTACTTTTTTCTTTTTTTTTTTTTCTAATTTGTTTTTGATCTTTTAACCTGATGCTACTTTGTAGGAGGTGGGTTGGGGTTGTTTATGGGCCTGTTTCTCGGGGCACTAGATAATCCAATAATGCAAGATGAAATGACTGGAAGGCAGCAATTTATATACACTGCAAAGCAGATGGGTCGAAGGAGCTGGAATTCCTGTAAAACTTTTGCTGTTATGGGTTTCATATTCTCTGCTGCAGAATGTGTCATTGAGAAGGCATGTACATTACTTTATGAGGAACATTAAGTTGAAATTGGTTAGGTTTTTTTTATTTCCTCAAAAAATTTCCGGAGAGGATGACCATTGGTGATTTATTTGAAGGCCCGGGCCAAGCATGATATCACAAATACAGTTGTTGCGGGATGTGTAACAGGAGGCACAATATCTGCTAAAGGTAACCTTGATATATTGTCATACAAATTCCTTCTTCCATTTGTTTTTGGGGTTCAATATGTCAGAGTATGTAGATTTTTGTCCTAGAATGCCATGTTAGTCTTGCTCATAGTCACTTATTTGTCTCCCTGCAATTCTTGATGATTCTATTCGAATTTTTAAAATGGTATATCTCTGGGGGTCAGGTTTGTGAATTTAAACGAGATGGGAGAAATGAATCAAATTTGTTTACAATTATCTATTACTGATATAAAGCTCAAATTTGACGACGTCGAAGATATAGTTTAAACTTTTTTATATAAATTATTGACTTGATGACTTCCGTATCCTCCCTTTTTTTATTTGCAACTAAAATTTCATCCCTTTGTCTTTTCTTCTCCTTCCTCTATGTAAGTCCCTATGGAGCCTATACATTCTAAATCCCTATTTTCTCATTTTGGTCGTACATAAAAAAAAAAAAAAAAAAACATTCGAAGTATATATTTTTTTTGTATTCAAAATATCTTTATTCCGTGTGAGAATCAGTTGATAGATGGATGCTAGAGAAGTCTAAGAGAATTTCCTTGTATGAGTTTTAAATAAGCATATCCCTCAGTTTTGTCACCATCATCGATCTCCGGATAAACTTGATAATGCAACTTCGCATATTGAAATTCGGTTCTATAAGTTTCAAACTTGCTATTTTATTATGATAGAAGATTATTCTTATATTGATAATAAGACATTTGGAGAAGATAAATGTCTGTAGTATAACGGTTCTGATGGGATACTGGATGGAAATGAACAACCTGGCATGACAAATAGCCAATTACATATCTAGAAACTTGAGCTACTGATCCTGTGGAATTGTCAACTAGTTATATCTTAATGCAAAGTGCTATCTGACGTTTGAAACCCTACAGTTGAAAGTGCTCAAAACTATTTTCATTTGAGTTTGTGGTTTTTAATTTTAATTTTATAATATAAATGTTCAATATTGCATGACAGAGCAAGTTAGTTAGATTAGAATTTTAGATAATTGCTCTGGAGGCTAATGACAGAAAAACTGGTGGGTTTTTCACAATCTAGTGCATTTAATTTATAGCTTAGATTAGATGTGCTGGATATAGTGTTGTGAACATTTCAGTCCGTGTCATACAGAATATCCAATGGACACTGGAGAGTTTGTTGCTGCTGACTACCTTTTGTGGCATTTTCGAACCTGTTTTGATACAACAAAAAATCCCTAAGATTAATAGAGCAGAAATGAGGATGTCAAGATGGATTAGTAGTCGTACTAGAATGAACAAGATAGTAAACGAGAATGTACACCAACAAGAAAAGGTGGCTCTAATTGAGGATAAGGGAGTCCCGACTTGAGTGGATGGAATATGAATTGCCTATCCTCAAAGAATCTCTCATGGATTCTTTATGTCTTCTAGAAGATGTAGTCATGAACAAAAAAGGGTGACAAAAAAAGGATTTATGTAACCGACCTTAAATTTATTGGCAATAGTGCTTGGTTTGTAGTTGTTGAACTTCCAACTACTTTTGATGCAATATTTCTCATCTTGCTTAAGCAGATGTGCAAAGCTCGAAGTCATTACACGGGAAAAAAAAACTGTTACCTGTGTTGCCCATTTCTTGAATATGAACTACGCTGATTTGATAATTATAGACATTGAGCATGACAAAATGCTCGTCATGATGTTTGATAATTGTATATTCAAGCAGTACATGTGAGCACTGCTTGAGAACGAGCTCTAGACCATGTTAGTCTTTAGACAACGTAGCTGTGTTTGATACATGATTTATACAAACTGAAAAATAGGAAAACCCAAACAAATAAGCAATTAATATGCTCAGTCAAAATTAAAAACCTGATAATGATAAGTGATTAAGATGATACTTTGAAAGTGAAAAATCAAGAAGCAACATAAATAAACAATTAGTGCTAGATATAAATAATAAAATAAAGATTCAAAAAATTGGAAAATTCTGGTTGCACTTGTACATTTAGCTACATGTTCACTTCGTCAATCGTAACCCCCAAAAAAGTCTCTCTCTTTTTTTTTTTTAACCATGGGATGACCAGGGTGTCTGTAATCATACTTCAATGTGACATGTAGCATGTTATATCAAATGGAAGACTTGATGCCTTCATATCTGCGAGGATCTTTACCAGCTTCCTACCATAATACCATTAGTAGATATATCTTCCCTCTATAAATCACCCACGAACAATTTATACATTATAATGTGGTGTTTGATTGAATTGAAGTTCTTGACATTGAACTAAGCAGCACTTGACCATACGTAATTTGTCAAGAAGTGAAACACCCACTCTAAAGTGTAAACTGGAGAGCATGTATGCTGCAGGAGGGTTATTAAGGGCATTTTTATTTATAACACACCAATATGATATAAAAACAATCATATTTCAAAGTGACTCGTACTTGCTGACTGGAAATGATTTTGTTCTATTTTATCAAATTTCCCTTGTTTCTACATTACAATGTTGTTGAGTGCAGTGTAAAGTTGTTAAAGATACACATTCAAATGTAATGGAAATTTTTATTTAACAAAACAAACATCTTTCATTTGCTTTCTAGCTTCCCATAGATGTACAAATTTACACAAGTGTTCAGTACCCTTGTCCAAGTGTCAAGTTTCTTATAGGCATACAAATATTAATGATGTCCCAACCCTTTTTTTAGCACTACAATTCCTTTTTAAGAGTAACTTGTTCCATCTCTTTAATAGAGAAAATAAGCTCTGAAGGAAAATTTACTCAGATTTAG